CTCCTAACTTGTGCATCTCTCCCTCCATGGTCACGCGGAGTGGTGGAGCTGGTTCCTGTCCAGGCTCTATAGCTCATGGCTGTGTGTGTTTGGGATGGAGGAGGGGGACAGACAGCAACACAGTCTCTCTCTGGTCCATCTTGAAGACCCCTCCCAACCCTTTCCAAAGAAACTCATCCTTCTCCCTCCTTCAGCCAAAGAACAAAACCTTTGTGGATATTGACCCAGGGATAGGCCTTCAAGAAGTCACAACCTACCAGTTCCACAAATAGCCAGACTCGAATCCCAGTGTAGGCTCCGCTGGAACACCCCATTCTCTTTGAACCCGAGCCACTGCCTACCATGGTTGAAAGCACAGCTACTGTTCACATTGATCCCTTCATATGCATCTCTCCATTTAATCTTCACTCCCACCCTAAGAATCTGAGGAGGAAACAGCAGTAGGAGGTTGATAACTACCCCAAGGTCACTTAGCTAAGAAGCAGAGAGCAGGGATTTGAACCCACCACAGCTGAATGCTCTCCCAACATGTTCTGCTGCCTCCCACTGGCTGGATGAACAAATGGCCCCTCTGAGGTGCAGTTTTCTCATCTGTAAAATGGGTTATTCTGACACTTGCATGAGTTAATGTTTGTAGAGCCTCACTTTGTATGTTGGGTTCATAAGGCCTTTTTCTCCAGCCAAGTGAGTGTGTGAGAAGTGGTGGAAGATGCGTGTTGAATAAGAAAATTTTCAGGAAATTTAAGTATGTGAGATGGATCTTTTCTGTCCATAGATAGCCGGCCTTTTGTGAACACATTTTACTGGTCCCTCTCACTGCTCACTACCCTCTCCCCCTAGATGGCCAGCATTTTCCTGTATCCTGCTCTCCTGTCACAGAGGGAAACATCTAAGATGTCAATCCTACTGGGGGTTGGAGAATTGTGCCATGTAGGAGGTCTGGGACATTTGCATTCTTTAAAAAGTCATAAGGAGAAGAATGCTTCATGTAACAGATATAATTACTTGTGGTGGGATTTGAGGCACTGTGGTATTTGGGGTTCTGCCATTTAGATGACCTATTCATAAAGTTGATCCTCCAGCAGCCGCAGACCAGAAGCATTACTGCCCAAGAACCAGCAATGGCCACTGGTGAGGCGCACACATCCAGATAGAAAGAAGGGTAGAAGGGTTGGCTCTAGATTACAAAGCCACCCCCACTCGCAATTAGTAAAGATTCCAGGAAGGGAGAGAGAGAGAGAAGTGGGACCCATCCCGGGCCATGAAGCAGAGGACTTGGGTTCAAGTTCTCCGTGCCTACTCCAGCCTGCCAGGTTCTCCACGCAGTGTTGCACTAACATCACACATCCAGCCTCACCTCACCCCCACCAGCCTCTCCTCTTGAATTGTCCCCAGCACCCCCTGACGGACTGATCTGGAAGCCCCTGAGTCATCCCTGGCTCCTTCCGGCCCTTGGCCTCCCCATCTTACATCCACAGGGTCTCAGACACATTCAGTCACCTGTTCCCTCAGCGAACATGCAATGAGACCTAACCACAGTAGTGAGGGGCACTACTGTGACTCTCCCTGCCCTCCCTCCCCATCAAGGCCCGTCTTGAGCGACAGGTCTCCCCACCTGCATTCTGTCTGCTCCTTCTCATCTGCCCTGCAGCTGCCGGGGTCGGGGAAGGGGGAAGAATCTTCCTAAAGAATTGCTTGGATCATATTACTTGCTCCCTCCCTCTCAGTCCCAACATTATTATCTGTAAAAACTCAGGATAAGCACCCTCACAGCACTGCAGTGAGGAGTGAAGGAGATCATGTGATGTAAAAGCTCTCAGCCACACAACAGGTACTCAAGAACAATTTGTTGAACTGATCTGACTTGTTTGGCTTTTGCCAGGTTAGCTAGCTACCAGTTACCGGGGGACTATCTGGACTCCAGACACTGAGCCAGGTAATTTATACACACCCTCCTTTATCACCTTCTCATCAACCCAGTGATGAAGGGTCTTTTATTATACCCATTTTGTGGCTGAGGAAACTGAGGCCCAGAGAGCTGAAGTAATCTGCCCATGGTCTCTTAGAGGAAGGGCAGAGCAGAGACTAAAATACGGGTCTAACCGTCATGCCATAGAGCCTCTCTCAATGGTTTCCTTCTTTGTAAACACAAAGCTGGGTGTTCTCCCCTCCTCACAGAGATACTTGGAGAACCAAATGAGTGATAAACCCAAAACAGTAGGCCTGGGAGGGCCCTCAGAGATCATCCTGTCCAACCTCCTCATTTCGTAGATGAGGAGACTGAGGTCTAGCCGGGAAACTCAACTCAAGACCCAATAGCTATTGGCAGAACCTGGAACCACAGGATTCTAACCACTCTTTCTTTCCTTGTGGGAAGAGAGCCTGCATAGAGAAAATAAAATGGCTTAATGAAATATTTAAAATGAACACTCTTGAGGGGCGCCTGGGTGGCTCAGTCGTTAAGCGTCTGTCTTCAGCTCAGGTCATGATCCCAGGGTCCTGGGATCGAGCCCCGCAGCGGGCTCCCTGCTCCATGAGAAGCCTGCTTCTCCCTCTCCCACTCCCCCCTGCTTGTGTTCTTTCTCTTGCTGTCTCTCTCTCTGTCAAATAAATAAAAATTTAAAAATAAATAAATAAATAAAATGAACACTCTTGAATCACCAGTCATGCCAAAAAATAAAACATTCCAGCACACCAGAAAACCCCCTCTCATGCCCCATTCCCCATCTCCCTCTTAAAGATAACCACTGTCCTGATTCTTAGGAGAATCATTTACTTGCTTGTCTTTATAGTATCATCACTGACGTATGCACCGCTAAACACTGCAGTTAGTTTTTCCTACCATTGAACTTAATAATGTAAGATTACAGGACATACTCTTTTGTGTCTAGCTTCTTTCACTAAATACTGCATTTGAGAGTCTTGTCCATATTGTTGCATGTAGCTGTAACCCACTCATTTTCACTTCTGTATCATATTTGTATGGGGTAGAACACTGTCTCCCAAAAATTCATGTCTACCTAGAACCCCAGAATGTGACCTTTCTCTGAAATAGGGTTTTTTTGCAGATGTAATCAATTAAGATTAGGTCATACTGGATTAGAGTGGACCCCAAATCCAGTGATTGGAATCTTTATAAATAAGAAGGCCATTTGAAGACACAGAGCAAAACAGGAGAACACAAGTGAGGACAGGCAGAGACTGGAGCAATGCAGCTACAAGCCAAGGGACGCCAAGGATTGCTGGCAACCAGCACGGGAGAAACACAGAACAAATTCTCCCTCAGAGCCTTCAGAAAGAGCCAACCCTGCAGACATCTTGATTTGGGACTTTTAGCCTCCCAAATTGTGAGAAAATAAATTTCTGTGATTTTAAGCAGCCCAGTTTGTGGTAACTTGTTATGGTAGCCCTAAGAAACTAAGATAGTATTCCAGCTTGCTTATAAATATACCACCATTTCTTGATCCATTCTGGAGTTAAGGTAGTTTGGATATTTCAGGTTGGAAGCGATTATGGATAATGCCTCTAGGAACATTGTTGATCATATGTCCTGCTGTAAAAGGACATGTGATTCTCTGGATGGCGTGCCTCCAATGCACCCTACGGCTACCTGAGTGGTCATCCTTCTATGGCTATGGCAGTAGAACTTTCTGGTCCTGGTCAGATGAAGGCAAATAGGACAGCAGTGCAATCAGCAGAGCTCTACTTGTGATGCACCCTCTAACCTGCCCCAGCTCCAGTCCAAGCTTCAGAATCAGGGGCCTCTCGACCTTTCCTGCCCAAACCCTCCCCCATGCCTCCATCCCTGACATTGCTGTGGCCCTGACCCAGTCATCACTTTCTGTGTTCAGGAACACCCCCCCACACTGACTTTGGCCTTTTTGGCCTTGCACCTGTCCCCAGCCAGAGTCTCTGAACTCCCTTCTGGTCCCTTTCTTCTTTTGCTGGTTGACTGGGTTTAAGACTGGACCCTACTCTACTCTTTGTTGTCCACTGGGCTCAGCCAATGCATCTCAGACCAAAAGTCCTTAACCATGGGCCCTCCATGCAAGGGGAGTCTTCTGAAGTATTTTCTTTCCATCTACCAGAAATCCATTGGCTTTGGGGAACAGCTACTCCTAAGGACAGAGAAAGGTTGAGGACAGAGAATACAGACATCATGGGGCAGAAGAGGTAAATGGTGTATGTACTAGAAACAGAGATGCTGGTGTATATGGCTGCAATAGCATCTTCCAGTGGCAAAGTCACAAAAAAAAAAAAAAGAATGTTTGTGTCAAACTCCAAAGGGCTGAGGCAAACGGTTGCCTTCACTCAGTGCCCATTCCTCAAGATGAGTCACTTCCTAAAGTTCCAGTGCTATGAGTACAATTGTTTATCTGACATGAACGTTGAGCTTGTTTTCATTGCTGCAATACTATCCCAAAGCATATTGGGTTGCCTTGTTTCTGAGTAACAACATCCCCTTATTATGAATTCTGTATTTCATTTGGACCTATCTTCATAGCATTTGTATTACTCTATACAACTCGTTCTGGGAAATTGTGAAAATAGCAATTCTAAGGTGGATAGAATTCTTTTTTTTTTTTCTTTTATTTTTAGGGAAATCCTATTGCTTTGATTTTGAAATCTGATGACAAATCTGTGGTTAACTCCACCCATCAGTGCTCTGAAGCCAAGAGTTGAATGTTTTGTTTTGTTTTGTTTTTTTCTGTGAGGATTTCAGCAGCCAATATTCATTCACTCTTTCTCAAAGTCCTTCTACAGAGAAGTTCTGGGAAGGTGGTGGGTGAAGGGGAGGTGCAGTTGAGAGCCAAAATGCCTATAGTTAGGGTAAATGCAAAATTTTTAAAAAGAACCATGACTTTTCAGTGATGCCAATGTCTTCCCTCCCAACTCATAAGTTAATTGGGAGTTGAAGGTATATCAGTAAAGGTTCAATCAGGGAAGCAGAACCTTGATGAGTAATGCAGAAAAACACAAATTTGGTATAGGGGTTAGACCTTGAGTAATGGTGAGAGCTAGTGAAGATGTCTGTGCAGAGCTGTTATCTCTCATTTGGTGGGGGTCAGTCCTGAAGTCGCTGTAGGTTGGCAGGCCTGGAATGGAAAGAAGGTAGGACATGAAGTGGAGGAAAGCAAGGGCAAGATTACTATAACCTCTGGAAACAAACAGTAATCTACAAGGACAATCTGAAATCCATGAAGACCAACGGCACCACATATCTGTCTCCCATCATCTCAACTTCTACTACATGGAAGCTGGGACCCTTCATCATGGAGCTGCACACACACCTGGCCAGGGTTCAGAGAAGCTGCAAGAGGAGGGCCAGAGGGAGTGGAGGACATGCAGGCCCACTGCTGCCCTGCACCAGCTGAGTCAGCCTGTAGATCAATAAATGAGCTACAGCAACACCCTACACTAACCTTCAGAGCATGGTGGCTGAAGCTTCACCTCCAGCTTCCAAATCTCATGCAAATTTTTCATATGGCAGTTCTAGCCCAGACCGTATAGGAAAAGGGATTCTGGGAAATGTGGTTCTGGTAGTTAGGTTAACATAATACAAAACCATCACAGAGGTGCAGTCAGAAATACCAGGCAGATGTTAAGTACGGTGCTCCACTGGGGAGGCACCACTCAGCTAATATCTCCGTACTACTTAGTGCCAGACACTCTTCTAAGCATTTACATATATTGATTACATATACTCACTTAAACCTTTCAACAACCCTATGAAGTAGTTGCTTTCATTATCCTTATTTCACAGATGAGAAAACTGAGTTCTAGAGAAAATCACAAAGCTAGTAACTGAGAGGCAAATCCTAACACACAGCAATAATGCTAGGCAGTCCTTCATTCATCCTTATTTTTCTATGACCTGCCATTCGTTAATCCTGAATCCTGCTTTTGTTTACTTTTCTTTTTTTTTTTTTTTTGAATATATTTTTCCCTCTCTCTGAGAACTGAAGACCTCTGACTGTGGTCCATGAATGTATTATCCTGGTATGATTATAGCTCTTCTCTTCTCTGCAAACCATCTAAAAAAGAAACCTATGTATTTTCTCATCTCGTCTTCATTCTAGGGTAAAAATTCTTTGCCTGAGAAGAACTCACCAGAATATTAACCAGGTTCATTTCTCAAGGTTATATAAGGAGGTGATTAAGAGTCCAGAATTTGAATTCCATCTTCACTGATGGTACCAGCTGAGTGACCTTGGACAAATTATGGGCAAGTTGAGCTAATATTATTAGTAGTAATAGTAGTAGGAGTATCAGTTAGTTATTGCTGCATAACAAATTAACCCAAATAGTGGTTAATTTCTTTTTAAAGATTTAGTTTATTTATTTGACAGAAAGAGAGCACACAAGCAGGGGGAGCATCAGGCAGAGGGAGAAGCAGGCTCCCTGCTGAACAAGGAGCCCGATATGGGACTCGATCCCAGAACCCTGAGATCATGACCTGAGCCAAAGGCAGATGCTTAACCAACTGAGCCACCCAGGCGCCCCACCAAATAGTGATTTAAACAACACTGATTAATTTTTGCTTGTGTATCTGTGCGTCTGCAGATCTAGGCTGGCATCAGCTGGGTGACTCTACTTCAAGCTGAAGATCCAGCTGGGCTTCAATCTTCACTGATTTGGGGCTTATGTCTGTTGCATGTGTATTGTGTTGCTAGGAGGCAACTACTGAGCACAAGCTCTTCTCCTGGTAATGGAAGAGGCACAAGAAAAACAAACAGAATCTGGCACTGGCCCTTTAGACCTAGACTCAGATCTGTCATACCATCATGTTTATTCACATTCCATTGGCCCAAGTGCAAGTCAAGGTCAGGGAAGTACAAATATAGATGGCAAATATAGATGGCAGAGGGTATGGACAAAAAGAGGGGAAAGAACCAGAGCCAATAATTTATCATATTTAACAATATTATTATTATTATTAAAAAGCAAACAACTCTTCTTAAGTTCTCCTTTAAATACATTTCTAGATCTCAGAAATTTAACGTTCAGAAGAAAAGCAGAAGTGAGTGGATATTTCCAATTTGGACAGTTGACTAAATGGACAGCATTCAGAGGAGAATTTCAGGCTTGTTTCTCTGCTCTCCTCCCAACACCTCTAGGTCAAATTCTGCCCCATGATATCCATTGTAAATTCCTGTGATCCACGGGCATGGGTCCATTGGTTGATGTCATCTCCATATCGGGATCCTTCCCAGCATCAACTGCAGGCCTCAAACATGATTAGGTGAACTTGAAGCCTGACCTAGTGGACAGAGGGCCCACTCCAGGGTCTCACCGTCTCCTCCATTTCCATTCTAAACATCTTACCCAAGGACATTTCATCCCCGACATATAAAATTAGGGCCATGATTCTCAAGAATTCTAGGCACAGATCATGCCTCCAGGGAGAAAAGTCTGTTCCTTCTTTGTGATTCGGTTACGGCAGAGGTACGCAGCTCGAACTTCCTTGCTTCTACATGTCTGTATCCAGTAGCTTCTTATCTGCTTGTTAATGTGGCATTTGTTTAAAAAAAAAAATGTTTTGTTCCCATGGTGGGGAGTATCATCCATATTGACTCTCCTGGGTGAGCTTTCTTCATTTATTTCTTCTGGAAAAAGAATAAAAACATTTTTTTGGAGCAGAATGAACATCAGTCAGCTGAGTTCCCTGTAATTGGGGCAGCCTTCCCCCGGAAGAAACTTTTACTTGCAGAAGTCTTAACAACAACAATAGCACCAAATCAAAACCGACTCCCATTGCCAATTCCCCACCATACTACAGACTCCTTGAAGAAAACAAGTCATGTTGTCTTCATATTTAAATTTGCACAAGGCCTGGCACAGTTGGAATTCAAATTATCTTTGTTAATTAAATAAGTAAATTCCAAACCTCTGTGACAAAGTCCTTGTGGCAAGTCTTCTGAAAACAAGAACATTGCCATGTTAAGTTGCAGTGGATGTGGAAGGTATTTTATAGGGATGGATCCATTCGAGGCAAAATTATGACTTGGACATATAATTCTCTTCAGATCTCAGAGTCTCAGTTCTGTAGGGCTCACTCTCAAAGTCCTCTTCCCCTACCTTTCTCTGGTTCCTTCCCCTGGTGCAAAAATATAGATGGGGTTTAAGGCTATTTGTTTAGTCTGATTCACAATGATTTCGTGAGCATCTACTAGAAGTCAGGCACTATGTAGGGTTTGAGAGATTAAAAAGTCAAATACGGCATGGTCACTGCCCTTAGGGAATTCCCAGTTTAATGGAGGATATAAATGTGTAAACTGATTATCATACAGCATGACAAACTCCCAAATGCCCTAGGAATACAGAGGCAGTACCTCTAGTCCTTCCCGGAAGAGGTGACATCTGAGCCGATTCTTGTTGCACAAATAAGAGTTGGGGGTGGAGTGCAGCTCTAGCAGAAGGAACAGCATGTACAAGGGCTCGTGTTGGAGAGCAGTGAACATTCTTGGAACACCACGGAATTCAGCATGACTGGGGAAAAGGGTTTGAGTTCGGGTGTGGCCGGAGCTATAGCCAGAGAGGGAAGCTGGATCATGCCTGCCACCTCTTAAGGCGTCTTGAGAAGTGTTGATTTATCCTGGGGGCAATGGGGAGTCGCCGAGAGTTTGTAAACAGGAAAATGACCAGATTTAAAAAGATACAGATGTGACTCAAGGAAACCAGTTACGAGACCATTGCAATTATCAGGCAAGAGAAAGTGGCCCTGGTTAGAGGCCCCTGCTCAGTGACAGGTCCCAGTTGTGATGCAGAGTTTCACCCTACGATGCTCTGCACAGACTTTGGTCTATGTGCCTTTAACACATTACAAGCTTTGGCTCCTTGATTCGCACTTGACTTGAATTTCCTTGTTTGGTGGTCACTTCATCCCGCCAAGTTTGAAGTTTACGGCCTAAAACGTTTGATGGCTTTTCAGTACATAGTTTTCAGACCTTTTATTTTTTCTTTAAGTGGAAAACTGTGGGGATTTTTCACGCTTGAAACCCAGGAGTGCATGAATGACTTAGTTCAAACTTTTCCCAAAATATTGACATTGGGTCAAGTCCAAATATCTGAATTTCAGGCCAGAGCTCAGTAATAGGTTAGATATCTTTGTTGTTTCTTCTTTTAAAGAGAGAGCGAGAGAAGAGGCAAGAGAACAGAGGTTTCTCATTTCATCATTTGAAGAATTAGCATCTGAAAAAATAAAATAATATCCCTGTAAACTTCTCTGATTCTATAAAAAATGGCAGTATCGAATTCTGAACCTTTAGATGGAAATGTCAGACTCAGTTTTCCCCATCACACTGAACCCTCTCCTGCCGTCTTCCTTCCCTCCTGGCTGTCCCTGCAGCCTCTTCCTAAATTGTCACCAACACCAGAGCAGGATCCCAAGCAAGAGTGGCCTGGGCCACTTGTAGCTAGGATATAAAAGAATTTTCCAATGATACTCCAAAGAGAGGTAATTACCAAGTACAATTAAAAGTTTGATTTCCATTTTCTCAGGCCTAGCTACCTGTACCTGATGCTGAAGCTCTACTAAGGCCAAGTGTAATGCAGTAGGATATAACCCACTTGCTGTCCCCTCAACAACTCCTTTACACCAGGGTTCTGAATGCTGTCGAAATTTAGGAGCTGTTTTGGTTAACTACTACTGCACAAAACCACCCTACGTCATAGGGACTTAGAACAAAAGAGTTTCTTATTACCCACAATTCTGTGGAGTGACCAGGGGTTGCATATGCCTTGCAGGTGCTGCCTGGGATACTGGGATGGTTGGAAGGTCCGCAGTGGCTTCATTCACAGGACTGCAAGTTGGTGCTGGCTGTCAACCAGGAGCTCAGCTGAGGCTGCCGGCTGGAGACCTGAGTTCTCATCCACTTGGGCCTTTCATGTGGCTAATCGGACATCCTCACCTTGAGGCCGATGGGTTCCAAGAAGCGATGTTCCAACAGGTGAATGAAGAAGGAAGCTGCTGTTCTCTTACATCGAGTACTTCTGCTATGTTCCTCTGGTTAAAGCCAGTCGCACAGCGAGCCCAGATGCAATGGGAGGGGGAAGAGACTACCTCTTGCCGAAGAACCGGCAAGGGAATATTGCGTAAGAGCACGTGGGATGGGAGATACAACTTCGGCGTCTCCGGCGGGTAGAAGAGGAAAGCCAGTTCAAGGAGACTGTGTGCACGGCTAACTTCGAAGTGCTTAGACCTGGATGGGAACAGTCAGACTCAGTGGTCCCTGGGGAAGGATCGGTGAGTAGCTAAGCCCTAAACCCTATATAAAGAATAAGCCCCCTCATAGGCTTGTTGCCTGGGAGGTGGTTATAAATATCCATTCTGTGAAAATGCTCTTTAATTCAGTCTTTGTAATTCTGGCCCAGCACACAACTGATCCTGAGGAAAGTAGTCATTGTAGTTTCCTTCAAAATAAGCTGCCAAGGGGCGCCTGGGTGGCTCAGTTGGTTGGGCATCTGCCTTCTGCTCGGGTCATGGTCTGGGGTCATGGGATCGAGCCCTGCATTGGGCTCCCTGCTCAGTGGGAAGCCTGCTTCTCCCTCTCCCTCTCCCTCTGCCTGCCGCTCCCCCTGCTTAAGCTCTCTCTCTCTTCTTCTCTCTGTCAAATAAGTAAATAAGATCTTTAAAAACAAACAAAAAAATTAGTTGCCAGGCTCTGGGCCACAGGTGACGGACCCAGGGGAGACCAGCAGCCAACGAGAAGACCTCACGTGAAACTCTGTCCAATAGGACCGCTTCTTATTGGCAGTGAGGAAACAGCTACCAGGATGCTCAGATCCTCACCCTAGGGAAATTTTAATGCAAAATGAGTTGAGAGAGGGACTGTGGAGCAGAAAGCTGCAAAGATGAAACAGAGAAAGAAAGAAGCAGAGGCAAAAAAGCAGCTGAATCACAGGGTTCTGATGGACTCAATGGGGCAGAAAGAAGTGGACTCCCAGGTCTGGGGAAGAGATGCTTGGGACACCGAGCAACTGTTGGGTTGGAGAGTGAACACATTAGTTCTCTATAAGTCTGACCTCATCTCTTAGCCCTCACCTTCACTCCCAGTAGTCCAGATCCACTGGCCTTTGCATTCCTTAAACTTGCCAAAGTTCTCACTTAAGGAGCTTTGGACCAGCTGAGCCCTATGCCTGAAACATTCTACCCCAGCCCTTCTCCCAGCTGGCCCCCCTGGAGCTCTCGAAGCTCGGTTACAATGCCACTTCTTCAGAGAAGTCTTCCTGGTCCATGCAATCTGAACTAGCCTCACACCCTTCTCCCTTCTCCCTCTCTATCACATCACCAGATGCTTTTCTTCATAGCACTTGTCTTTTTGTCCTATCTGTCAACCCTCCCTTGAGTGGAAGCTCCATGCAGGCAGGAACCTGATCTGTCTTATTTGCCACTAGAGTCCCCAGAACCTGGCATACCATCTGACATGGTTGGTGCTCAAAGAATGTTTGTTCAGGTGAGCCTTTCCTTCATTCCTCACAAATTAAAAGAGCCTCGCACAACAAGGCAAGGGCCCTGACACCCGCCATGGTAGAAGACTTTGGAGTGAGGGACCCATCATGCCGACAGCAAAGTAGCCAGAGTCATAGAACCCATTTGCATTGATGAATATTTAAGTTCCCTAAAAATATAACAGAAACTATTCCCCAAATAAAAGTGAAGATAAGGCCATTTTGCTCCCTTGCAATTAACAATATTGGATACTTTCCATTCACACTCAAGGACAGTCAAGATGAGTCAAGTAATTTCTGCTCACTGGAAACTTTTGAGGATCTTCCTTCCCTCAACAGCTCACCATCTGCCCTCCCACCCCCACAAACATACATTTTAAGGTAACACTTATAAATACGTTTGGGTTTGCAGATGATATGCTAAACCTGTGTGCCGATTTTTCTGAGTCTGGTCTTCTAAGCAAGCATTCAATGTCTGGGGCGTTTTAGCCACTGGATCTTATAGGCAGAGCATCTAAGGCCAAAAACTTTTGAATGCTCTTGAAAATATCTGACACCTGAAAAAAATGATATTGTGTTTTTCAAACAGAATAAATATAACTCAAGAAATGCTGAAGTGAAATGTATGCCGAACATGAGACAATGTCTACTTGTCCACTGCACTACGTTCCTGTGTTTCCGGGGGTGGGGGGTGAGAGGGGTGTCAGAGAACCTTTTAATATCTTTGGGGGATGGGGATGCTATGTGCCAAGCATTGTCGAACCTCTTTAAATGGCTCTCCCACTTTTTGGTGTGTCTAAGCCTTGACCGGCATGGCCTCATCTACACACACACCTGTACGTGAAATCTTTGCCACACAAAAAAGGTCTAGAGAAGTAAACTGGCATGTACTTGATTTTTGAGTTATGGCTTAGTATGTGATCTGTGATTAGGATTCCCAATTTTCTGGGAGAGAACCAGTCTCAAATACATCCCATTTTCCCTAAGGACAAGTACACTTGTCCTTCGGAGATCCATGTCCTTGCTTTAGTATAGAGGACAAGGATCTCTGGGTGTTACTGGGAGAAGGAGGAGGGCAGTGAAGGGAGTCTCAGGGTCAAGGTTCCCCTTGCTGCCTCTCCAGGTTGCCTCTCTCATCCCACTCTCCTGCCTCCATGTTTCCCAGCAAATGCAGCAATAGGGGATTATGGACCCATCAGGAGAGTCTTCTGGAAGCTTTGGGAACTGGATGAGGAAGGAGATCAGGAAGTGAAGAAGGAGAGTGGGCAAAGCGTGCAGAGATTACAAACTCTATTATATATTTAATGGAGGTGGGAGGTTACTTAATGGCAAAAATCCTGTCAGTCCTTGAGAGGTAGATTTTGAACCTCCATTTCTGTGGTGGTTGTGATTTTCCATACAAGTTAACTCTCAGAGATTCCCTGCCAAATATTAATTTCCTTCCTCCACATTGGAACTCTAGTGTCCCTGCTTGTTGCAAAGCATCTTCAATATGTGTTTAATATTGTTTGGGCAACTGAAGAATGTGGGGATTTGTAACAAATCTAAAACAGCTTAAAATCAAGGGTTTGGTGTAAATAAAGAGTTTTGCGGTTGTCATGTTTTCAGTTTTTTCACAGGCTGTCATTCCAGACCATTCCAGAGGGAAGAAAAGTCATCCTATTTTTAAAGACCTCAAAGTGCATTCCACTGTCTTCTTTCAGAGCCTAGTCTGGTGTCTACCAGCTCTCAGCACTGGCAAGTCCTCCTGGGGCTCTAACTAAATTCTGCCTGCAGAAGAAGTTCTGGCCACCCAGACATGGGAACCAGAGGAACCTTCCACCATCTTTGATATCATCTTCCTCAGGCCTTCCAGAAGGTCAGTGACCCTTGTAGCCCTGATAATCCCAAATTCCATAGCCTTCTTTGAATCTGGAGAATCTGTTGTTCTAGAAGCTCAGTACTGAATATCCCCCCTCACTGAAGAGGTCTTTTCGCCCGCTGGAGAGAAGGAAAGCAGCTCCAAGTAGCGCTGTGAGCAGAGCTTAGTTTAGAAGGTGAGTGGGTGAGGGAGCAAGAGGTCCCTGTGCCCGCACAGGCCTGCCTGCTCCTACTCCTAGGCCTGCCAGATGCTGTCAACTGTGCGCCAAGTCAGGGGACTAGTGTCCCTCCCCCGTGCGTGTCCCCTGCTCTTCAAGGAATAGGGGCCAGAAGGGTCAAGGAAGCATGGCTTCGCCCCAGAGGAAAAGGAAGCTCAAAAGCCGGGTCAGAGGGTAAGATACTGCTGGGTCGTAGGATGCATCTGGCCTTAACATTTCCGAGGAAGGAAAGGAGGAAAGAAATCAGATCCTAGTGGCCTTCTGAAGGCTGCTCAGCCTCTGAGATTTTTCCCACATGCCTCTGATTGCCCAGACTGAGGCTTAAAACTGGCTTGAGAATCTCTCCAGCTCACATCCTGACTCCAATAGAAGGGCAACACAAGAAAGAGAATGTAGGTCACGAGCAGGAAGGTTTGCCATGCTATACAATTCCAGAGGGTACTATTCACACAGGAAGGTGGAACCCTGAAAAACAAAGATGTGTGGGTAAAAGGTGAATGGGGGCGCCCTGCCTATATTGGGAGGGTGTCCCTGAATAAATGCACAGTTTAGGAGCCCCCAGACTCCCCATGGCCAGGGTGCACGGTGTCCTTCAGAATGCGGCTGATAGTGACATGCACAGTCGTGGGTGGAAAGAACATTGGTCCTCAAGTGAGAGGCCTGAGTTCCAACCCCAATCTCTAGGGAGCCACTGGGGGTCTTAGATTTTTCTGGGCTCGATCAGTGGTTTCCATAGAGGCTACCCATTTTGTGCCAAAAAATTTCAGACAGACCTCCACATGACACATCTTCCATGGTGAGTTGGGCTCTAAAGATAAAATAGAGGGTGAAGGAGCGCCTGGGTGGCTCAGTCATTAAGCGGCTGCCTTCGGCTCAGGTTATGATCCTGGGGTCCAGGGAGTGAGCTCCACATTGGGCTCTGCATTGGGCTTTGCATCGGGCTCCGCATCGGGCTCCTGCTCAGCGGGGACTCTGCTTCTCCCTCTCCCACTCCCCCTGCTTGTGTTCCCTCTCTCGCTGTGTCTCTCTCCAGCAAATAAAATCTTTAAAAAAAAAAAAAGAGGGTGAAACTATTGCCATATAAAAATGCTCCTTTAAGATCCTTTAAATTACACACAAACACAGAGATACACTTATTTTGATAGGCATTTGTTAAGATCAGAGACCCACTGAGGGGAAGTAGTCACATCTAGCACTCATGCCCAGCCCGGGCAGCCCCTCATCAAGAGGAACAGCAGCCAGATCGCCAGCGTTACTAAGTGGTTATGGGTTTAATTTTTGTTTTGCTCTTGGTGAGTTTGTTTGCTAAGCCCATCTCATCAAATTTGCATAGATTCAGTATACTCACGGTGCAACTCTATCCTAAATGTGTTTAAAAATATTTGTTGATTTAAAAAAATACTTTGTGATTAATGTGACTAGAAACTCAGAAAAGTTTTTATATGAATTTGTGTTTTATTTATTGCAACAACATCTATGCACATTTGCAAGATTTTTAAAAAGATGTACAGGTGTGGTGAGATATGTGAATTATCCAGGGATAGAGGGTGCTAGATGCAGATGGGCTAGATGGCCCCTGGCTATCTGGCCGAGATAGGCAGGTGGGAGCCAAGTTAATGAGATGGGCTAAACTACCCACAGCTTGAAATCTTAACGTGTCTAGGCTCTCTAGA